TTTTGACGTTTTATAGTGTTTTTACATAAATCCGTACGGACACCATGACACCTTTAACGTAGAGTAAGACCAAACGTTACTAAAATTTTATAAAAATGGCGGATCTTAATAAGAACCTCGAATATTCCTATTTGACAGGCTACGGCTTGACGTATTTTGACACATGAGGTATTGTTGGATTCGCCTCAACAGTGGCCAGAATAAACCCTAAATAAATCAGTGGCAGTGACACAGGCCACAATAAGGGCCGTATCGCCAGTCGTTCCGACATATTATTGTAGGACGCCTTTATAGCCTGCTTGCTTTTCATAGTCTTCTCTCCTTCAGAAAGCCTGGAGAATTTAGAGAGTACTACCGTTCTGTGTAAGCGTCAGCGCTCTAATATTGTGAAGTCATGTATTCCTTTTGAATAATTGTAGAAAGTGTCAGGCTGACAAACAGATGATATAAATCAAAGCATGAACAATTGATGCAATTAGATATTTGTGACATAACCTCAAAATAGAGCGCTGATAGGGAAGATTACAGAAACTATGAAAATCAAGGAGGCTATAAAGGAGCCCTACAATTGTATCCTGTATCCTTCAGATTTCTACTGTTCGCGTCAGAGCTCTATTTCGAGGTTATATTTTCTCTTTTAATTCTAAGAAAATTCAGGCTGATAAAACTTGATTTTTATCATCTGTTTCATAAGCTTAAATTTTCTTAAGATTCAAAAGAAACGTACCTCACAATAGGGAGCGCTGAAGCCTTCTGAAGGAGAGAAAATACTATGACAATCAAGAGGCCATTTACAGTAGGAAGGCTGACGATACGGACTAGGATTCGTAAAAACAAAATGGCGGATTTTATCAAACAAATTCAAGATTATAATGCTGACAACTCGATGGATTTTGACATATGAGGTGTTGTTGGATTGACCAGTACGAGAGACACTGGCTGTACCAACACCTTATAAAGTCGATTTTAGTTTCAAGTATCAAGTTAATAGAGTTGGGCCCTCAGGTCAACTTGTTCTTCAGAAAGTCCCCCTCTACTTATTTCTTGAACGTGTCAAGGTAGCAAGCTGAAAATTGATATGGTGAAATGGAGGCATTAATACTACTCTTAGATTAAGATAATAATGGAAAATTTCCAAGATGGCGACTATAGGAGAGCTAGATTCAACAACTAATCCTCAAAGTGTTTTAGTTTAAAATAGTTTTGACATTTTTTTAAATGGATTGTTTCTATCCTACTAGATATTCGGACATACCTTCACAAAGGAGGAAGCTCTATATTACATTCTATACCGTTTCGATGATTTATTGTTGAGCTGTAAGTACTATTTCGCTATTCTTAAAGGTGGTGATTTATATTCTAGAGTTATAGAGGAAATTGAGAATGAGATACCAATCGACGTCACACTCGATTTGAATAAATTTTCCAAAATGACGCCCAGCCGCCAACATAAAATGTCTTAATTGTCACTTCTACATTAAAATATAGTACTACCCGTGCATTAATTTCAATCCCCTTAATTTTCGCTTGATAACTTGATCCGATCAAAAAAGTACCTATAGACGATCTTTTCACATTACTGTTAATCCTTACTAAAAACCAATCCGTCAAAATTTTGGAATTCTATAATGTGGTATAGATACATGGAGTGTCGAATGATCGTGAGACACCAAAATGCTCAACTTCCATTGTTTCATGAAATTACTACAGTGTTTGTCACACTATTCAACAGTTCTTATGTTCTGCTGTACCACTTATTTATCTAGGATTTCTTACTTTCTTGACGACTTCAGTTTTTCGTTGTTTCGATCAAAAGTAGATCTATTATATGTATGTACCTACATCCAGCAATTCTCCAGAAATCACCCCTGAATTGATGAGTACAGGCTTAGAACAGGCAAAATATTCTGGCTCAGTGACCTAGGGTAACCCAGGTTACGTCTCAATCAAAGTTTACCACCTGACTGACGATGAAAATTTTATTCTGTTTGCCTTTCGTTGCTATACCGTTTAATCTCCGCAAGTGCGCGTACACAACCTCACGTCTGGGAACCTCATTAAAACGAAAATAATTTACATTTATATGTAAGGTCACATGTCAGTGGAGCTGGATTTTATAGGATCTCTCCGGGAGATAGCCAACAACGACGCAGCGACGGCGATAGGCGACTCGATGTTCTCGGAAAAATATTTCTACTGGACTGGTAGTTTCTGTCCGAGGACGAGTTACGGTAAATGAAGGGTTATTTACAGGGACTGTTAGTCACGACTAGTGAAAATGGAGCGTTTAAGGCGATTTGTGTTATTTTTTCGTCGCGTTTCTGTTTTATAGGATAGAGTAAATCTTGAACTGCTCTTATTTGGCAATGTCAGAGGAGATATACTAGCTGCCTCCTAGTTCGAACTGTCAGACTACAGACTCAGTAGGCTAAAGTGCATTGTTCTGACTGTTCGTTCCGACATACAGATTACTTTTTCTTTATTAAGGACAAATCAATGCACTGATAATATGGTTACATGAAAGTATGTACGTTGAAAAATAAGACGGACGGTTTCTCTAAGCGTGTTTTGAAAGGTGATATCTGAAATATAGAGGGTTTTCATGTCGATAATGCCTCATGTTTGTCTGGCTAATCAAGCCAAATGTCTTTGAAATTCTTCCTTTTTTCCATGTTTCGGTCCCAACGGTGATATTCTTCATAACAATTGACACTTTTTGACTTTTCATCATACATTGATATTGTCGCACCCAAGTTATTTCAAACAAACTAATAGCTTCATAGTTGACAGATGAAAGTATGTGTATCCGATTGAGTCACTAATGCTTCATTTTTTGAGGAGCTTGTTTAAAAGACACTCAGATAATCAACCTATTTATCGACTACAGTAAGCATTATCTCGGCACGATAGAGGCGCCTCACATGAGCCTCAGCCGTAGATTAAAGTTACTTTAACGTAAGATATCTGCATCAGTTTAGGTACGGCAGATATGAAATTTGTTTTACTCTTACTGTGTTTCTGTAATCAAAGTTTTCAATACTATTTTTAAAAAGTATGAAAACGTTTTTCGTTCGGTGAGTTAAGAACATGCACAAAGAAAAACTATTTATTAAGGAATTTAAAGTTGTAGGATATGAATCCATATCACGATATGGCCATCCGATTACAATTTCACAGCACTAAAATCGGGATTGTTCACCTATGCCTAGTTCAGAAAAACTGTTGACATTATGGAATAAATGACTATCTGACAATTTTAAGTCCTACTTCTGTTTTGTTTTCGAAAAACTCAGATTTGGCAATATCAATATATGACATATTTACCTTTTTGGAAACAGAAATGAAAACTCTGTTCATCTGTGCTAAAGTGTAATATGGCGTCCACAACAAAAAAAGAGTTGATGATTGAAGATAAGAGACGAAACTTAATATTATAGTTCTGAGTATGCCAACTTCTAGAGGAGAAAAAGTGGTATTGTTAATGTAATTAATTTCGAAATCTTCGAGACAAAGAAAAAGATTTAGGTTTTATTCGTCTCCCCGAAAATATTCTAAATTGTGAAGTGCCACTTCCTTAGATACCTGAAAGCGTAATTTTCTTAATTTAAGCAACTTCGTACCTCAAAGGGCCGTTATCGTCAGTCGTTCCTACAATAATTGTCGGCCGCCTTTATGGCCTCCTTGATTTTCATAGTTTTTCGTGTCCTTTAGAGAGGCGCTCGATTTCGAGGTTATGTTACAAATATCTATTTGCATCAAATTGTTCTTGGTTTTGATTTTTATCGTCTGTCTTATCAGCCTGGAATTTCTTACAATTCAAAAAGAAAAGATAATTAGGAGATGACACGATACTTTGACACCATATATCTCAAATACAGAGTATTTCTAGGCTTTGCGCCCTTTGGAATCATTTGATGGACTATCAATGTATGAATTTTTATTAAACTTAACCGGTAGACACATCCTTATGCTTTGATCACTAAAAAAGATGAAGGACTTTAAAAAATTAGAAAATTCTGAGAGTGCTGAATGGAGGAGATGTTGTGAGATTTATCAAGTCCCAATGGTGGGGTGGTGGGCAGGATATATTGAAATATGATCAATGATAAAAAAATACTAAATGGAAGCTAACGACAGCTAGAACAAGAGAAAGACCAAATGTTAGATGGGAAGACCAAGAATGCACAGACATAGAAACTATTGCTGAAGAGAACTTTGTAAGAATATGAAAGGCAGGAAGAAGGTAGTGAATAGTACCAAGTCATACGGAAAACTCTAATAGAAGCAAGACAGCGGCGAGTTATACGAAATAAAACCATTTGTCAAGACTGTACTTGCGCCCTCAGCCAACAGAAGAAACCAGGTGGTCATCCCTCTCCTGAGAATGTACCGACAGTACACCTTAAAAGTACACTCACTACGAACCTCAGAAGCAGCAATCAGTTCCTGGAAGCAATCAAATATCATCAATTAAATTAAGATTGTATTATATCGCACTATAACCTAGTTAAGTCTTTCAAGGGCGATGGTATATAAAATAAACCATCTCAAAGCATCTCTATGTTAATTAGGCGGTGGTCCATACTTAGCCCCACTGGTATAAATTTCATTTACAGATCGAGCAGCGGTTTAGTTCATGAGCCATCGCTCGAAGTAAGTTGTTCACGTGCTTATAGGAACGCGTGTACCGGCAATAGCGCGGGTGAACGGAACACCGCCTGCAAAAGCAAAGTAAGGTTATGATCCATTTTTCAAAAACATATACCAGCTGTTAGTAGGGAAACACTAGAAAAGTAAGTATCATTGTCCAATTTCGATGTACTCATGTTATTAACGTTGTCTTGTTATGATTGTATCCTCTATTTATTCGAAAATAAAAAACTCTAATGATTTATATTTACTGGTACTCAATGCGTACCACCGCACACATTACGTTTTTATTTTCCACCCTAGTTTTTTTCATTTTCCGTATTACAACATGTCTGACTTGCCATTTAAGTTAGTCGTTATGACGGAAAGTGGATTAGGCTTAAATCGGAAACATTCCAGAAATGGAACAAAGTCGTATAAACGCTGAAGAAATCCCATTTGACTGTGAATCATTAGCCAGTAACAGAGAGCATCAAGAAAGTCATACAGAAACTACTATTAGAAGCAATCTGTTGATATATTCAAGTACTGACTCTGAAGATGATCTACCTTTGTCAACTATCGCTAGAAGACTGCAACTAGCTGCATCTGCTTCACCAGTTGGAAGAAGATCTCCAGTTTGGTCTAATGTGGAAACTCCTACACCACCTCCAGATTTTACTGCACATTCTGGTTTAGCGGATTGTGTAGCGAGTATGACAGATCCAACACCGTATAAATTCATAGAAGGTATTTTGAAACAAACCTGTATGCTCTACAAAAGGGCGATGGTACATATAAAAAAACTAAATGTAAATATAAGAAGTATACAAAGCTTTGGGTATTATTTATATCCCCAAATAGCATTTTATATGTGAAACAAATGATATAAAAAAATATTTTTTGTGCCCAAATACAGAATAAATTTTATAAAATCCTTGCCCTTAATAACCCTGAGTGGCTAAAACGGTATTGTGAGAAAAAATATTACTACTTTTATTACGATCATTATTGAATAATAATAAGTGGCTCAAGCAAATACGCTAACTTCAGTTTTCGCAAAGTATTAGTAGTGGGACAGCACTTTAAATGAGAGATTGGCCTGCTCGCTTTCATTCGCAAGAACCATCAACTCTGCATAATAAAATAAGCCAGCGTAATCTACGACTGGGCAACAAACTGATTTCACTATTAATCCGAGAAAGGGGCATCAAACATTTCCCGTAGAAGAATAATGAGTCTCACAATCCAAGCGCGGCGTTGCGAAGATAGTGGATCTAAGAGCAAACCGTATCTCTTATTTATTACCCCTAACAAAACGACATCCTCTTCTAAAGTACTGGGATTTTATTAGAGACATCCTGGCAAATATTTGGACTTCGCTTACTTCTCAGATAGTTAGCGATGATTTACAGTAAAAGAAATGTCCCATAAATTTGCTTAATTAAGAATACCGCCATATCTGGAGACATATTCGTATAATGCACCAGGACCAGAGTTTATTGGCTGCTTGCACTTTGTGCAATTTAATCGATCTCATTTATTCGATAGCGGGTTAGTTACTCGACTGAGGACTGGAAGGTAATGACTTTCGACAAAAAAACCATCTCACATATTAATATCGAATTTATATTTTGGGAAGGGACAAGAAAGGAAACTAGATTGGCTGTGTTTCAAAGGAATTGACTTTAAACCATTCTCAGTCTGGACAAACACGCTTAACCGTTACAAATGGGTTGTTTCGCGGGTTTCCCTTAAATTCAGGAGATAATTGAAAGAGACGAGTTTTTAAAATTCTAGACACTTGTAGGCATCTTCAAACACTGCTTGATGCACCTTTAAAAATCAGGTTACTGCTGTCTTCTTTATGCTTTTATTTTTTAAAATACATACCCACTTACTCACTTTAGTAGGATTCTGAAAAACGTTAAGTAACTAGGTTTTGATTTTTAAGATAAGTAGAAAAATGACAGAATAACACCCAGAAAGACGGATTTTTCATAAAGACATGTGTCATTTTCTAGAGTTCATATACATCCGAAAGATTTGATACTTGTTTCCATTCGACCTGTAAACTATTGTTGATATTAAACCCATGGTCCATCAGTTAGGTTGGAGAATATCAGTGGATTATGAGATTTTATCCAGGCTTTTTCTAATGGTTTGTTAGTCATTGAGTAAAACTGTTGCGTCATATGTTATTTTCTCACAGGAAAAACAACTTGATTCCCTTTAAATGTCGAGGTACTATTTCTCGGGTTTCACATCCATTAAGTATGCAGTTACATCAGTTTAGTTGAAAGTAGGGTTTTCGCGTTTTTTGAAGGGTTCTTGGCGTTTTCGAGACGATCGATACGAGGATGACGTACCTGCACCAAGTTAATCATACACAATTTTAACTAAGCTAATTAAAAAATTTAATCAACTTCGTTATCAAGTTTAATTAGTTCAATCAAACTTCGATTTCAAAGACAGTTCACTTGAACCTATGATACCTACTACTTTAACTAAAGCAAATCGCAATCGATTAGTTATATTTTTTAAACCTTTTACTTAGAATGACTACACCAAGCTATTTAAAATTAATGAACTGTTAAAATCACTTACCTGTTTCAAATAAAGTGATTATACTTGTTGAATCAGTTCAGCTTAGTTAAAAGTGCTAGTTTTAATGAATTATTTTAATTAGATTTAAAAGGATATTAGGATGGTATTTAGAATGTAAAAAAACAAATTACATTTTACTGAATGATGTATGTTATAACTTTACTCTGACAAAACTTACCAGAAGATTTCAAGAACTGATATTGACAGTTGATGTCTTAAAACCAAAATAAAAACTTATATATTTTTTATTTTCATGGATTGTTATCCTATTATATACGACTGCGAAAGGTTGGGATATCTTGAAACTGGAGATACTACAGACCAAATATGTGGATTGGCCTGAACATACCTCAGTCCCAAAGTTGATAGTTTGCGTGTTACAATTTTATTTTCTATTTTTCCTTATTGCTTGAGAAGTATTTCAGATTTTGGTATAAAACTCGGTATAGGCAGGTTTTCTAGTATGAGAAACAGAATCCGTTATTTCTTATGGAGAAACTTCTAGAGGGCGCCACTTACAGCACTATTTCGATAAATAGCTCATCATAACTTTTTTGTGCTACCTTCTTTACAACAACTGACCAAAAAATCTTATTTTCAAGTATTTCCACAACAAAAAGGTTTACTTGTTTGAAGTGTCTAAAGCTAATAGTTTTCGAAATATTGGTTTATAATGGTTCCAATGCATTCTTTATACTATGATGATAAAAGAGGTTTAACATAATAATCAAGTCCTCTGGCTAATATCTGAGTCGCGTTGCTACAGTTTTGCACAGTAACAATTAAGTATGGCAACAAAACTATAACGGAAATAATAACTACCAAAATTGTTCAAAATGAGCACCACCTTGCCTAACAAACACTCGAGCTTGACGAACTAATCACTGCTGCACTTTCCAAATGATTTGGAAGCCATTTTTCATTTCCTGGCTATGGTGGAAAATCCTTTGTCGAAGATCATCTACAGTTTCCACTGGCGTATTGTAAACGCGTCGCTTTGAATCACCTCAGAAGAAGAAATCCATAGGATTTACATCTGGTGATCTAGCCGGCCACGATACAGGACCTGATCGGCTTAATCCACTGCTCTGGGTAAACTCTATTTAGGTGATCTCTAACTAATAGACTAAAATAAGGTGGAGCGTTGTCGTGCATAAACCACATATTCATGCATGTGTGTAATGGAAGATCTTCCAGCAGCGTGGGTAATTATTGTTCTTCAAGGAATTGTAAATACCTTTGGTGATTTAGTCCAGGTGGTACTCAACGGGTCCTATCAAATAGTGTCCAATTATTCCTGCTCATAAATTAATTTGAAACTGTATTTGGTGGCGGGCTTGTATTATTGCATGAGTATTCTCGTTATGAGATTATGCGAGTTAATGGGCCCATCCCTTCAAATCCTGCTTCGTCCTAAAATAACACTAACCAAATAAAACCATTGTCGTGGGTAATGTAATGTACAAAATTCTACCTTTGCGGGGTCATCATCGGAGCTTAAACTATGTACTCTTTGCAGGTGGTATGGATGGAGCAGCTCTTGAAAAATGGTATTTACATTTGTAAACTTAAAATTCTCTAGCTACATTCCTAACCCCGACTGTAGGATTTTCAAAGGCAGCATCTAAAATATTTTCTTCAACTTCAGATGTACGTACAGTTCTGTGAGCTCCACTATGTCGGCCCATATTTTGAGCAAAACTACCTAAATATAAATATAAAGTTCCTCGCGAAAATCACAAATGAAACTGCGAAGTTCACAGAGCGTCACGGGTACTGCGTCTGTCGTATACTCCCGATCATTCATGAATGAAGGGCCAAGTCCTGCCGTGTTTGCGATTCAAATAAACAGTTTAACTGTTTTGAATTGAAATGTTTTTAAATGCACATTTTCTATATAAAATAAATTATACTGAATTACTTGAACAGTTTAACAAGACAGGTACATGGTTGGCTACTTTCAAGCAAATTAGTTTAATAGTGTATTACTTTCAACTGTACAGGATTGATAAAATTCAGTCTAATTAAGTCGAACAATTGGTTACTTAGAGTAATTAAAAAACTCATTACCGGTAATGAGAATTTTCCGGAACAACTGTCCACGTCTTCTCATTGAGGTACGCTAAGAAAAAAACCGGTAACCTCATGTTCGTTCGTCATTTGGAGGGCAGGACGTCTTTTTTGGAAGGGGAATGCCTACTCCAGGTGGTCATGGGCTGTGCTGCTTTTGCATGGTGCCAGAATTTGGAATGATGATTTCGCGCAATATCAGCATGTTACGACAATTTTCAGACTGTTTTAGTAGCCTACTGTACAGCAATGTGAAAATAAAAAACGAAAAAAAAGGATTGTCACCTGGAAGCCAGATAAATAAAGTATATAGTCAAAAGAGTGTCAATTGTACTGAAGAACGTCACCAATTTTTAAAACATAAACCTGTACATAAGCAATTGAAACATGATTTTAAATTGTATGGCTTTTTCTATCTAACAGGAATGCTCGAGTTCAGAAATTCATCACTTCTACCAAAATCTGTATGATTACTCTCAAATGTAGTTAAAAACTGTGCTCTATTGTTTAAGAATCTAATAAGATCTTCTAATTCTGACAAGATCGTTTACTTCTTTTCCATCCATGGGCACTAACTCTAGTTAAAGCTTTTTTGATATTATATATACAGGGTGACTTCGAAGTTGAGTCATTTATTTCAACAGTGAGTAGATCTGATCAAAAGAAATGTTTTTTCCTTTACCATTTTTCTGGTAAAATTAAAGTAACAAGTTATAGTCCTTTGGAAGTTTGAGTACCGCCCTGTCTCAATAATAATACTATGTGCTCGTGTTTGGTTCATCGCATCGGAAACAAAAAGCGAAAGAATTTGGAACGATGTTTTTACAATAATTTTAGTCAGTTGTATATAGTCAGTGTCAGTCGGTAACGCGTTTGAATAGTGGTGTCTGTTGCGTGGCACAAACGAAATAAAAAATGGCACATGTTTATGCGGATCGGTTTCCCAATCGAGTGCAATCAACCCCTCGTGCCTTTGTTAATGTAGTACAACGGGCTCGTGAATCAGGTGACTTAAGACCACACAGGGGACTGCATGCCGGTGCTCCAAGACCTCACGATCAAATACAGGTCAGCACTGAAATATTTGTCGGGAGGATACCTTATAAAACAAGGTAAAAAATTTTTTTTATTTTTTTTTATTTTTACACACATATTTTGGTTTATCTTCCTTCTACAATCATTATCTGAAAATTAATGACTC